TAATTGGTTTTACTTTCTGAGGAGTGTGCATACATGTGTGTCTGCGTGCTAAGGATATACTTTGTCTCTATAATTGAGAAGCTTATGGTGGAGACTTGTCATCCATCATTCTTTGTACATGTTGGCCATGCGCATCTGGGAAAAGACCAGCACTGCAACCTGTACGCTTTCAAATCGATCTAACATTAATTCTACAGTGACATTTAAAAGACAAGAATTCACAGATTGCACTCTGAGAAACTAGGATATAGTATGTCTGCTACTTTGCAGAGGTGGGAGTAAGTCACAGGTCACAAGCAAGTCTCAAGTCACAAGTTACTGTGGTGAGAATCATACAGGTCAAATCGAGTTCCTACTATAAGTAAAATAAGTCACAAGACAAGTCATACAAAAGTCTGATGATCTACCCCAGTTTCCACATTGAAATCGGTGGTCACAAAAAGTTGTTTCATTTTAATCATCAACAATCAACAAAACGTGTTACAGCTTGCTTACACCTTATAAATCTTACTGACAGTTGACATTTTGTGGCAATTAATAACAAGCCTCCTATATGAATAACAATGATGAACTGGACTTTAAATTATAATATAGCCTTTTAGCTCTATAGCTGAAAACATAAGTACAACACAAAGCAATTGCAAAACAATTTTAGGACTCCTGCCAAATAAATACTGTTAACAAGATCTGTATTCTTCATTCCTTCTCTCTTCCTTTTATTTCAATCTGGAGGCTACTTTATGAGATTGTCAGGACTAATAAGAGCTAATGCTATGGGAATATTATGTATTTAAGTGAAACATTCACAAACCTTCTCTGATTATTGTGCATTCGTAGGCTATAAACTAACCCTTAGCTAATAAATAAAAAAGGCATGCCTTTCCTGGCTATCAGAAACTCTTTACATAAAAATGTGTAATCGATTGGAAGCCAAGTCTAACAGCTTAATGTTAGGTTTCTAGCTAATGTTTGACCAGCCAATAAGTTAGCTAACCTTAACTGAAAAAAAGACATTCACATAGCATTGCTTACCTTCCTTTATGCATTTTGTAGTGAAGGATGAAGTTGGATGTTGTGGTGGTCGAGTTGATGATTTTTGCACTACAGACTTTGCATAACGCTGTTCTTAGTACCGTCATTGACAACATAATCCTTGAATCCAAATTGTATTATTTTTGGACTAGTCCCCTCCATCACAGCTGAACCCTGCGACCTACATTCCCTTCTGCTGGTCTGCCATGTTCTCGTAGGTTGCCAGGTTTGTGCGCATTGCACCTGAAATCACCCAGTTGTGTTTCAAAAGCAAAACATAAATTCTCAATATCGAGAAAAATTCAAAATTCATTTAATAAAAATGTGAAGTAATTTAAAATAATTTGTCTCAAGTCTTAGTCTCAAGTCATGAACATCAGTTCTAAATTGTTGTCCTCAAATTCGTGACTTAAATCGTCACAAATCATGTGACTCGATTCTCCCACCTCTGCCACCTTGTGTCTCTAACATGCTGTTTGTCTCTATAAAACATGCCAAGTTGATCGTTAATGGTTTGGGCAAATCCAGGTCCTCCTGGTATTCACCTATAACTCTCCTGTGGCGATTTGTTTTTGTCTCAACACAGCACAGCAGGTAGCAGTTGGAGGGGCGCCTCCAGTATTTAGCACTAAAAACAACTCAGAAGCACCCATTTGTATACTATAGGGTCCATTCTGACACCTCTATCTAAAAAGTCACTATTTCTGCAGATTTTGTTAGAAACGAACAAATAATTGAAAGGGAAGTGTGTTCAAACTTTTGACTGGTAGTGTATGTAAGGACAAAAGTATAGAGGTGGCTCTTTGTGCTGTTAGACTGTAGGATACAAGGCTATATTCACGTCAGCAAAATACAGAACACTTTTTTACAAGGAGATTCTGACTTTCACTTTATGATTATGGAACTGTTGTTCTTGGTTGGTAGCGCCCTCCAATCTCTCTGAGTGTGGGTAATAAGGAGTTACAGTTTATCTTGAAAGAATCTCTTTTATTAAATACCAACATGGCAGGTACAGTACACATTCGACTTTCTCTGTCTGCAGTCACACACAAGCCTCTGTTATTCTCTTGCACATGGCATTCTCCTTCTGTTACACTCTAACCATCCCTCGTGCAACAATGGCAGATATATATGGAAGCCCCTTTCAGAGCCCTGAAATGTTTTACACAATCTATTATCTATACTGTCCCCAGCTCAGCGGGTCTGGGATGCTGAAACACACTGTTGAGCCTTCTCGGTGTCATGGGTCCAATTCAACGAAACACCAGTTCAGTTAATGAGAAGGTGCCCACCTGATGACCCTGTAGACTTGCCTTCACTCCTACACCCACACAGAACTTGTATTGGTGATAATACAGTTACAGACTCAGTGGAATTGTTAATAGTCTTCTTTTGTTAGACAGTCTTGGTAGAACAGTGTCAGTGGTTGGACCACTGAGCGGACCCCGCTCTCAGAGGTGACTGCTACTACAGGCCAGTTGGACCAGCCACTGCTTAATCTGAGCAAATACAATGCAGATGCTACATGTCAAGCAACATATCTGCTCCTTGCTTGGGTGAGTATAGGGTTCAGGGATGCTTTGTGTTAAGGGTAGGTTAGATCTGGAAAATGGTGTTGCTTATTGTGGGGCTCTGAAGATTTATGATGGCAGGCCTGAAGCCCCCCTCTGTGGGGCCAAATAATGGCCATTTAATTCATATACTAAGCTTCCATATGAATGCTCCCACTTTCTTTGCCACAGTTAATTGTGTATAACTGACTGATATAAAAGAATGTGAAATGTGCCATTCGGCAGCATGGTCTGCCTTTGGCAAGGAGGAGGAGGGCTCTGTGCAACAGTTGTGTGCTTGGCCAGCAAGTGGTATTTGAGACTAAACATAATCTGGTGGTATCAGTTCACAGCAACAGTAAATGCGAATTACTTTGGTCTTGTCGAGAGAACCATCTAGCAGGGCTTTGAAGCTGAATTTACCATTTAAAAGACCCTTTTGTTTATCCATTTCTGCTGCTGCATTGCTTCCTGATTTCCCAAACTACAGGGCAGACCAAGAGTTTTCTAGCTAATGTTGTGAGATAATTCCTGCTTACCACAATGTACTAGAAAGCTTAACAACATACATCAGTATTCTAACTTACAGAAAGTAATGTAAATAACTTAAGTACAGAAAATAAGGTTACAATTATGTTTATCTCTATACAGTTTAATGATAATGGCTTTTAGACAATGGGTATTAGTATTTGCTAAATGTGTTGCCAAAAAAGTTACAATATACCGACAAATGAGTCCCTATAGTTATGAAGAATCTTAAATTACTGTGCTAAAGAGGATAGTTTTGCACAGAAGATATGCAAATTACAGAATGACTGACACTGATAATGGTTGTCATGAAAAAAAAAAAACAATTCAGGGTACATTGCTAAGAAATGGAAGAAAGTAAGAGAAGGCAAAAAGGTTCATGGGCAGGCTTGTTGAGTCCATTCAGAGGGGAAAGTAGTAAAAAAAAAAAAATTGTGGTTCCATTTTACATGGATGGACAAAAAGCTTTCAGCTGAAGAGATCTAAAAAAATAATCATTTCAAACACTGATGAATTATAATCCACAAACTGGCATTTGTTGTCACAAGTAAGTGCTGCAAAAACATGTGATCATAAAAAAAGCTGATTCTTTCTTTTATGCACTGTAGTGTTCACAGAAAAGAATGGTGTGTGTGGCACTGATAAGCTGCAGTGAGCTGTTTGTTTTATTTATTTTTTCAGTCAAAAGACACCCACAGTCCAAAGACATGCAGCTCAGGTTGACTGGCGGCTCTAAATTGCCCCTAGGAGTGAGTGTGAGTGTGTGTGGTTGTTTGTCTCTTAGTGTCAGCCCTGTGATAGACTGGCGACCTGTCCAGGGTGCACCCTGCCTCTCACCCAATGTCAGCTGGGATTGGCTCCTGGCCCCCTGTGACCCTATTCAGGAATAAACGGTATAGATGATGGATGGATCAAAGGACATCGACCCAAGTTGGCCTTGTAGAAAAGATCTTTTTTAGCTCTTCCATTCCAGTGAAACTTGGACGAGGAAGCTCTTAAAATATTAGAGTATAGTAAATATAGGCCTTTCATCAGCCTGTGATCATCAACATGTTGTCAAAATCACACTTTTTTTTTTTTACATCCTTACATATCCTTAACCTGCCTCATCTGCTTCTAATCCAGTTAGCGTTTTCCTGCATTTTCCAGAATTACTTTTAACAACTCCCAGAGAACTTGCCTCGACATGTTATCCTCACCGTGGCTTTTATTTATAGATGGAGCAAGCAACGCAGAATGCTAATCACAACAGTAAGAGCAGGAGTGTGCTCCCTGGCTCGACTGTTTCTCCAACTCACTAGAGCAGCACGAGATGTTTTGGAATCACTGATGATGTGGGCGGCAATTCAGAGGTCTGTCCTGATGCTTACCAGTGATGTTTTAATTTGCTGATATTTTTCAACTCAAATTACCTCTTTACCTGTGATACTCTTTTTAAGTGGCACCGACATTATGAAACAATTTTTTCCACAAAATAGTGTCTCTCTGCTGGTACCACTGCTTTGGTTCAACAATGCTACTGCATTGTATTTGCTTCTGAATGCAATATTCAAACCTGAGATGTTTTTATGCATGCACACAAGGGCGCATCTTATAAACATATTTGTTTAAGGTGGACTGACTTTTAGGATCTCACAACTTTTTAATAGTATCTGTGGAGCCAAGAGTCAGATTTTTGTAGTGATAATTCACCTGCCTGAAAGTACTTTACATTGCTCAATAAACAGAGAGGTTTATGGATGTGACAGGCTTCAAGGCTACAACATGCAGACAACAGAAAGGCCATAAACTCATAGTCATTCATTATTTCCTCTCTCTCCTTTACTCTCTCCATGCCGTCACTGAACAGGGCGGGTGAGTGGCGCCTGATTACCAAACATCATCTCCTACCTTTGATCTCCTGAGGTGTGGGGCTCTAATCCATCTTGCAGCATAGGAGGCTGTCTGATCTGGATGGTTGCGGGAGTCACTTACTGTAGCTTCTCCTCATCTCACATACACATACAGGACTGTATGTGCCCTGGCTCTGACACAAGTGTGTGTATAGACACACAAATGCACAGTTTGGGCTCTGCACGCTGCATACAGACAGGGGGAAAAGAAATAAAAGGAACATACAGTAAGCAATCCAAGTCAGAAGACACAAAAGAGATTAAATATGAATTTATGAAGCACAGAGACAGGAGTGCAATTGATGTCGCACTGGGCAGGATTTGAGTAATCCTGAAATATAAAGAGTGTATGGAAAATCCAAAGATCCATAAATGCATGGTTTGCCCTGCTTCGTAGCCTGAGAGTCCACTGCACATTTTAAACAGCAACTTCACAACAATGGTACTGCATTATGAATCATATTTCTTGTCAGCTCCTTTAGTCCTATTACTAATGCTGAGGACAGCCGTTTATCCAACATTCAGGAAATTCAGAATCTGCACTGTAAACTGCATTTTCAAAGTTCATGGTCTCATTTTGCTGATGGTCTTGTTTTACTGTTTGTCCCTTACTCAGCTAGATACCCTTCCTCTTTCTACTGTTACATCCAACATTTCTCCTAGTGCCACTGCGCACACTTTGAACAGCCTCTGAAACTCATCAGCATTCACAACCAGGCTTAGCACACAATATTGCAAGACAATTTCCACAGTAAATGAGAAAGTAAATGTCACTTGCAAGATGAGCATTAATCTCATGTCATTGCATTTTAATGACACCCTTATTCAGAGGAGGATTACACTTCTCCTGAGATCAACCTAATCACTTAGCACCACGATGAAATCGCCCTCGTACGTCGCAGCAGATGTAGAACCTGCCATGTCACTAACTTTAGCAACATATGAACCGCTGTCTTTGTGTGATTACACAACACACATGCACAAACACACACACAACCTTGTTCTGTGCTAATTTCTTCAGTCAGTTTCCTGATTATCACACCAGCTAAAATTATCTACTTTCTACTTGCTGCTCAAAAATTAACAAAGGTCAGACTTCAAGGAATATTAAAGCCACAAAGGGGATGTTTACTAAACCGGTCACAAATTAGTCTGGGGTGGTTTGTTTATGTGTGAGACACCCAAGCAAACCAGCCACACCCATGTGGTAGTTGATCTGAACATGAATTCAAAAGCTAAAATACTGTTAAATCCATCAGTTGATCGTGAATATTAAGAAGGCGATCTCCTGTCAGTAAAACCTGTGTTTATGCAAGATCTTTTTGGAACCATGGAAATGCGCTGATGCATCAGAAGATGAAATGCAGTCAAACCAGAGTTTTGTTGAGCTTGTGTCCCTCTCTGTCTATTTTAGCAGTGAAATGTATCGATTGCTCACCACTGTACGTCGCACAATGTCCCCTTTTCACCTCAGTTTTATCTGTTTGTCACTGTTTGTGATATATGAACCTGGTTTCAGGCTTCTTGTCTATAGCTCTCATAGTCTGCTATTTCTGTGTGGGACAGAACGATTCACATCAGGTATTGTGAAGTGCAGTATCACCTACTGTCAGGTGATAGCTCCTGGTAGGTCGTGGGTCCATTGATGGTGGAACATGATCACCAAAGCTGCCCAGTCAGGGAGTTACGTCTCAGCTCATGAAACTCTTTTCACTTGCTGAAATTTGATGTAATTTGATGATGTAAATGAGCACAGTATTGATTTGAATGTATTTCAGTTGGTAAGGTCATGCTTGTACTGCACACGGGTGGACCAAGAGGGACAGTAAAAAAAGTGTTTACTGCTGAACTTTAAAGAAATCAACAAACACGTAGTCTCCTGTCAGTCAAATCATCTATTATTTCATTCAGTAACTGAAGCATGGTTTGACCTGAAAGCCTGTAAAAGTCCCTCAGATTTTCCTCTGGTAAGCAATGTGATTTACAAACACCCTGTCCCTCCTCAAACGTTCTTAACTCTGACCAGGTCTCAGATGACTAATATCTGCCACGCTGACAGCAGTGGCGCAAATTTTACACCTGCTTTCTCCTGACAATAAATTTCAGCCGCAGTTCCCTCTGTCGCAGCAGTGATTAATCAGGTGGTAAGGGTATTTGCGTGACTTTCTATTCTCTCCTCCCTGTTTGCATCCCTGAATGGGAACACCTTAAAATGTATATTGCACGAGACCAAACACACAAATTCCCGTGGTGCTGCCTTTCTTCTGTTCCTCCTCCTCCTTTTGTGTTTTACATAGTTATTTCTGACACTTTTTGTGGGAACAACAGAGATCAGAACTAAGAATGTCTCCCAGGAAGGACCAACAGAAAATTGCTCATCGTTATCCTTCTAATTAAAGAATAATTAAAGCCTGCGCCTGTGGTCTGAACAAGTTGGCACACTTTAGCGACTATCCTTTGTGGACAGAAAAAAACATTTGGTAGAAAGCAAGTGTATCGAGAGGTACTATAAAGAAGGATGAGAATGAAAGGCTAAAAGAACAACAAACTGACTGCACCACTTCTCACTGGGATTCATTTTCCACTGTTGTACAAACAAAAACTTGTGGTATCAGAATAATGTTATCCCATAAATCACATAGCGGCTTTAAGTCCTCCACGAAACTAAAAGCACATGCTTCGGTGAATGCTAAACAACTGATGAATAATTCTTGAGCAAAACATCACTGCAGCAGACAAAACATGGTTTCATCATTATTCAGATCTCACATTTGGACATTTATAAACCACATGCATGCATCATATTGTCATTAAACAATGGTTTAGTTCTGCTCGTTTGTCTTTTGCAGTTCTGATTTCATTATATTTCCCTGTTGACAGAACAGATTTAAACCCCTACTTTATAATGGCACCAGAAAAACACTTACTACCTTAGATTTGTCCTGAACATCCCCCAAAGGCTCAAATACCTTTAGAGATTTATCAATTCATGGCATTCATTTTATTCAATCAGGAAAATGTATGTATCCATCGTGAGACAATTTGCAGTAAGCACAGAAGAAAAGGTTAGATCAAATACATTTTTCCAGCTCTTGGAGGGGTTGTGGAATAAATAATACTGGGGAAACTTGTGAAGTGCTGACACGTGTAAAGTTTCAGCAGAAAGGATATTATTGCCCAGTGTTCCTTCACTTTCTCCTGACCTTCCTCTCTTTTCTCTGTCTTAAACCTTCAGGCTGCTGTGTACAAGCCAAAAGGTACAGATTCCATTTTCTGTCAAACACTGCCCATGGGCCGAAAATCCCCATTTCACTGCTTGCCCTTACTATTAACAAACCACTGGAAAGTTTATATCTTTTGAGCAGTGACACTAAACAGCAAACCTGAAGTACAGCTGCCACACACATCAAGAAAAATGTTTCAAATATTTGGCAAAATGTAAAATCTAATTGGAATCTTAAAGTTGCAGCAATGCTGAAAAGAGTTATAATAAAGGTGTGGGCATTTGAACAGGTCTGCGCAGCATTAAATGGGCATGAGAAGAAAATACTGGAAAAAAAACACTTGGGAAAAATGAAGAAAACCCACATTATGCTCATTTACACAAACAGTGGGAAAACTGGAAGCAAATTTGCAGACTTTGCTCTTTGGCTCTGTTTCTACCCTGTGTACGGAGTCCAGAAGGCAATGCTCGCTTTCTCACAAGAACCACACTCTGAATACTGTTTACATGAAAGAAGAAATGCCAGAAATCTGCTCGAGTTTCTTTGCAGTCATTTTGTTGCAAAACACACTTGGTTTGCAATTTCTCTTTGGCTATTAATCCACTGACTATCCTAGGTGTGGGACATACAGTATTTGTCAGTAGCTGCACCGCAACATGTGAACATAATTATGTGTGGTAAGAGAAAGACACAATTATGTTTGGGCTGAAAACATATCTGCTACTGGTATGCTTGTTATGTAGTAAAAAAAAAAAAAAAAGAGCCCTGTCTAGCTGCAAGGCACAATTTAAAATAAACACAATCACTGCACTGCAAAAGCTACATTAGCAAAAAAATCTTATGAAATTGTTCTGCTGTACTTTGGGCCATCTGTTAGGAGAAATCATTACCCCTAGGCTTCTGTTTATCTGCAAACTCCTTTGACAAAAACTTGCTTTGTAGTAATTTATAGCCTAGTAGTTTGTAATAGTACAAAACAATGTGCAGACAAAGCTTCATTTATGCTTTAGAACCACCTGTTAATTTTTTAGTAAGCAATGAAAACAGATTGTAGGACAAGGGCATACAGTACATAATGTTAGCACCCAACAGAAAAGTACACTTTTAGCACTGTGTAGTACATATTCGGTATTTTATAAGAAACAAAAGTAACACAAAGTCAGTATTTTGATATGTCGCTGTGGGACAAGCACAGCTGCCAATAAGAAATAAATGACGGCTGAGAATTCCATAGAGCTGCTGCATTGTCGGTGTCATTTGTAACATGTGCTTTTCATTCACTGGTGAATCAAAATTTCTGCTGTGAGCCTGTTGTTGTAAACCTAGCCTGGCATGGGAATAAAAACACAACTCATGCCACTTGTTGGTTTGTATTAGAGAGACTCCTTTCACTAATATTCAAGCATATTTATCCTATTGCCGCATATCTTTCTTGAAAAGAATCCCTTTTTTGTTTGAAAAATGATTCTGCAGAAAAAAAACATGTTTACTAAGGAGCCAAAAAAACAGGAATTTGATTTCTTGACAGTTGTAAAAGTAAACACAGTTTCTTATTTTTGTACCATTAATCTGAACAATTCATTGCTCATGAAAATAAACACAGCTTATAGTTGAGTATGAAAATATCTCTGGGCTACAAGTACATGTAAGGTCTGGGCAGCTATTGCAAAAATCAGGGCATGTCTTTAAAAGATGCAGTTAACTCGATGTCCTCTAGCTGATTCCAACAGACACTGCATGAAGTTATTTTCTCTGCTTCGGTTTTTTTCTCGTTTCTCAGATGCACAGCGGATTTTAATGTGATTTGGAAAGTTGGGCAATGATCCAGACAAAACTGATTAGCCTTTGGTACAGATCTGAATTCAAGCGTTGGTCTATATTTACATCTGACAGATAATCAGATCTGACAAACGTATCCTATAATAGTCAGTCGTCTGTTGTTTGATGCGGATCCAGATTCAC